ATTTAGATCAATTCCCTCCCAACCTTCCGCCAGCAGCACCTTCCAAGAAGCCCTCCCGCCGCCGGTCCTCCATGCGGCAGCGCTGGGCAGCAGTGACGTCATCCTGGGCGGCGGTGTTTGTCGTGGCCATGGGCCTGCTGACGTGGACACTGTACATGTACTCTGGCTACCGCCGCCTGCCCTCTCCGCCCTCTGCCTCTGGCTCTACCCTCTCCTCTCCTCGCAAGCTACAGCAGGTTGTAGTATTAGCCTCTTTCTTAGGCTCTACCCTCTCCTGCAGCCGGTCGTCTTTCTCCCTCTCTTCCATCCTCTCCTTCTTCCACTCCCTCCTCACACTCCCCTCCATCCCCATCGCTCTCTTCTCCCTCCTCCATCCGCGTCCTTTTCCGCTCCCTCATTTTTATACCCCTCTCTCTCTCTCTCCCTTCTATCTCACTTCAATCTGTCCTCCCTCCTCTCCCCTTCTTCCTGCCCTCCCCTTCCTCCCCTTTGCTTCTCTCCCTGACCTCCATCCTTCCCCCTGTTGCTTCCCTGTTTCCATTTTTTCTTCTCCGTTCCTCCTCTTTTTGTCAATTTCCCGTTTCCAAGTTATAGACTCGTTTTTTTCTTTTCCCGCGCCTCTCTCCTCTAACATGCCTTCTCCCCTGTCCTCTCTTCCGTCTCCTCTCCACTCCCTCTCCTTTCCTCATTCATTCACGCCTCTACTGCACCAATCAGATCACGCCACGTGGCAAGTCAGGGCAGCAATTGGTGGGAGGAAGCAGGGAGGGACGCAAGGAGGAAGGGGGGCAGGCAGACAGAGAAGCATTGCATGTGGGGGAGGATGGGAGCATGGGGCAAAGGCAAGGTGTGGCTGGAGGCAAAGGGGTGGAGGATGGGGAAGAGAGAGGGGAAAAAGTGGTTTATGGGAGGTTGGAGAAAGAAGAGAGGCAGCAGCGGTACGGAGAGGAGGTTCAGGAGAATGAGAAACTGCTGGGGCAGGGAGAGGGAGTGATAGATGGGGATGGAGGAGGAGAGGGTAGGAGAAATGGGTCGGCATTGGAGCAGGGAAAGGGCGAAAAGGAAGAGCTTCAGCATGATGTGATGGAGGCGCTTCAGATGCTGACGCTGAATCTAAGATCGTTGCAGGAGACTGTTGGGACAGTGCTGCACACTGAACGCAGGTGAGGGGGGTGCTTGTTGTGAAGTACGTCAATAGCAATCAGCACCCAGGCATGCGGCATGATGTGGCACTTGAGATGCTGACGCTAAATCTAAGATCATTGCAGGAGAACGTAGAGACAGTGCTGCACACTGAGAGCAGGTGAGGGGTAAAGGCTGGTGATGAGGGGTGACAGCAGGTTAGGGGGTGGTGGTGGTGGTGGCAGGGGCATGCAGCATGATGTGATGGTAACACCTCGCTGAAGCTGCATTGAGAACATTGAGACGGTGCTGTACACTGAATGCAGGTAAGGGGTTAAGGCTGGCTGGTGGGAGGCCTGCTTGTTAGGTGTGTGGTGAAAGCTTCTTACATGCTGAATCGCCTCCGGGAGTGTAGGAGGAGAATGCAGAGACGGTGCCGCATACGGAAAGTAGGTGAGGATCTGCTTTGCATAACATGCCATTCAAGGTGGATATGATATGAGTGAGCGCATTGAAAGGCTTTCAAAGCGCCACAACTGAGTTGCACAACGCAGTCAACACACCGAAATCATGTGTTGCAGCGCTGAAATCAGGCTCTAGAATCAGCCAAGTTGAGGTTCGGCGAAAAAGCGGAGGCCCGTCCTTCCAGCCTCCACCCGCACCTCCCACTCCACTTCGTGGAAACTGCCAGTGACGCTCACACACTACTTGCACCCTCATGTTTCTGTTTGAAGAAGTGACCCTCATGTCTCAAAACACTACTTGCACCCTCATGTTTCTCTTTCCCCCTTTCCCCATCCCGCATCCCCCATCCCCTATCCCTCAACCCCCATCGCTGTGACCGCCATCCTCCCAGCCTGCGCCCTCATGCCTTCAACACAAGTGAAGCATTCTTACACCTCCCACCCGGCTCCATTGAAACTGATAGTGAACCTCCCAGTCACCTTTGCTTTACTGCTCTCGTTCTTTACCATCCCCCCACCTGCCCATCCTCCCAGCCTGCACCCTCACGCCTTCAACACAAGTGAAGCATTCCTGCACCTCCCACCCGGCTCCATTGAAACTGCCACACCAGCAACAGCAGGAGCAAAAGCAGCTGCAGGAGCAGCAGGAGCAGCAGCAACAACAGGAGCAGCAGCAACAACAGGAGCAGCAGCAACAACAGGAGCAGCAGCAACAACAGGAGCAGCAGCAACAACAGGAGCAGCAGCAACAACAGGAGCAGCAGCAACAACAGGAGCAGCAGCAACAACAGGAGCAGCTGCACCAACACCAGCACCACCACCAGCAGCTGAGCCGGCAGCATCACAGGCAGCTGCAGCCAATAAAGGCCAAGAACCCCCGAAGCAGTTTGTGCGGCCGGCAGTGGAGGGGCCGCTGGTGATAGCATGCATGGTGTATAACCGTGTGTTTGATGGGGATTGCACTCGCTTCTGGGCGCTGCATGTGTGGCAGGTGAGGGGGGACAGGTGGGGGAATGGCTAGTGCAGTAGCGTATACAGGCACCGTCATCACACACAGCAGTGAAAGCCGACACGGTGTGTAGCATAATGTTTGGCATTGGTGTGGGCAACAGTGGCAGGGCCGCTGGTGATAGCAGGCATGGTGTATAACCGCGTGTTTGGTGGGGACTATACTCACTTCTGGGCGCTGCATGGTGAGGGGGGCAAGAGGGGTTGATTGCTGGGTCAGTGATAGCACATTCGGCACTCCACTTGCCGAGTATAGCCGAGTGTTTGATGGCTACTCCTCGCTCCTCTATTACATAGTAGTTTGATTGGAATGGAAGCGCCTGCCGTGCAAATCAAGCTTGCTTCTCTGTTGGGAGGTCATGCTCAGATCTCTTCACATCACGTCACATCCTTACAACGCGCACCGCTCAAGATCTTCCAACTATCTGTTTCAATCTCTCTACTCTGTCACTTTGTGGATCTCAAGCTTGCACTATTCCATGGGGGAGTGCTCTTCTGCTGTTGAATTGCTTTCCCTTTTCAATTTCTGTTCTTTTTTTTTGTGTGTGTTTATTCCTTTTTTCTCCCATGCGGTAGGGTAGTTATGGAACGTGTTGACAAGTTCGGGAGGGGTGGAGGCGATGAAGACGCTGATGATGGCAGCATCGGCCTTCTCCCATTTCCGGTACTTCTCAACAGCCTCCTCGTACGCCCTCACGTCAGTATCACTTGGAGATTCGGTCGGCTCACGGGGAATAGTAGGCTGTTTCCCCTTGCCACGGTTGAGGAGGACGTCCTTGAGGTCAAGGCCCTGCACGTCACGGCTCAGGAGGTGCTTGTCAACTCCGTAGCTCCACGCCTTGAAGTTGGAGCTAGAGCCATCAGCTTCAAGGCGGAGCGGGGTGATGGGGTTCGCCATGGTGGAAGACGAGAGAGCCATGGTGGAGACCCCTTCTCGCGCGGAGCGCCGCTCTTAAGTCACCGATAGGAACTTCGGTGCGCAGCGCGGCGATTCCGAAATCCGACGGACCGGAATAGCGAAAATCGTCAATGTCGGCCGCGTCGGAATGTCACGTAGAAGGTTTTTTTTTCTTTTTTTTTCCTTTTCAGGCCGCCAACATTAGGTCGAATCGGCCGATTTCCGTAGATCTATCACTAATCCCACATATCCCCCCACACACCACCCTCGGCTTCGCGGCTACACGGCTGCTCTGCTTCGCGGCTACACGGCTGCTCGGCTGCGCTGCTGCACCTGTTCAGCTGCGGGAAGGGGGAAGGGGTAGGAGTGCAGATGCGGGGCGACGGGCGGCAGCCCGACGTGAAGCTGCGGGGCGACGGGCGGCGGCCCGACGAGAAGCTGCAGGGCGACGGGCGGCAGCCCGACGAGAAGCTGCGAGGCGACGGGCGGCGGCCCGACGTGAAGCTGCGAGGCGACGGGCGGCGGCCCGACGAGAAGCTGCAGGGCGACGGGCGGCGGCCCGACGAGAAGCTGCGGGGCGACGGGCGGCGGCCCGACGTGAAGCTGCGAGGCGACGGGCGGCGGCCCGACGAGAAGCTGCAGGGCGACGGGCGGCGGCCCGACGAGAAGCTGCGGGGCGACGGGCGGCGGCCCGACGTGAAGCTGCGAGGCGACGGGCGGCGGCCCGACGAGAAGCTGCAGGGCGACGGGCGGCAGCCCGACGAGAAGCTGCAGGGCGACGGGCGGCGGCCCGACGAGGAGGAAAGCGAGCGTTAGGTTATAGCGCGGACGATGCGCTTACCAGATAAATTACCGTCGAAAGTGACGGGAAGGTGCAGCGGGAAAATTTCCGCCGACGAATGTCGCGAATCACCGGCGACGAGGTTGACGATGGCTTCGCCGAGGTTTGCGGGACGAGTATCCGCAGAGGTAAGAAGATCACGATCCGCGTATGCGGTTGAAGGGCTCTGATACCATGTCAGAAATAGGCTTAGAAGCGATGCATTAGTAATGAGCTTGAAGCTCTTTAAGTACATCCAAGAGGGGTAGGAAAAGGATGGGGAAGGGAATCGGGGGCAATCTCTAGGGATTGGGGGTAATCCCAAGGCAATCTCCAATTGGTGGGTTGGAGATTGGTTGGAGATTACATTTGGGTTTGGTTGGGATGTAGGTGTACACCCAACCAAACACAATGTGCAAACTACACTACTCTAGGATATAGAAAATACAAAGTACAAATTGTGAGATTGAAGACTAACACTAACAGGAGTACCATCGGTATACGGGAGTGACTCGGTTCTACTGGTACGACGAGGCCAGGAACACCGATGAGGACCAGGTGTGTGAGTGTGGTGTGGGTGCGTGCATCGTATAATTATGGAGTCCCTGCTCTTGTTTAGTCTTAAAGCGGTTCAACACCACCACAGGAGTGACTTGGTTCTACTGGTACGATGAGGCCAGGAACACCCATGAGGACCAGGTGGGTTTGTGTGTGTGTGCTGGGTAGTCGTGTTGTAGCGCTGCTGTTTACGCGATAGGTGCCTTAACCACGGGAGTGGCTCGGTTTTACTCTTACGACGAGGCCAGAGCCCAGGAGCAGTGAAGAGGAAGAGGTCCGTGCGGGGTAGTCACTGCTCCTGCTGCTTCTCATGCGTTTCAACCATTCAGTGACTCGGTATTACTGGTACGACGAGGACAGGAGCAGTGACAAGGACCAGGTGAGTGTGTGGGGGTGCATGGTTGGGTGCATGCGTGCGTAAGTCAAGCCAGTCACATACCTGTTTTATTTTTAGACTTCTCAAAATCCGCGTGTAAGTAGACGAGTTTTGAGACGTCTCAAAACTCGTGCATAGGTGGGTGGGTGCGTGCGTAAGTCAAGCCATTAAAGCCAGTCACATTCCTGTTGTACCTCCACCTCCCTTTCGCCCACCTCCACCACAGGACATTGTTCTAGCCCCCTGCATCGGTGCCGGCCTGGTGGTATACCACCGTGTGCGCGGCAGCCAATTGTTTACCCAGTGTGAGCCCTTTTCCCCTTCCTCGCGCCTCCCTTCGTCTCCCGCACCATCACAGAACGTGGTGCTCGCCCCCTAAATCGATGCCAGCCTGGTGGTATACCACCGCATCCACACCTGCTGTCTCGTCCACCTCCTTCCAACCCCCCCCTTACCACCACCATCACCACCACCATCGCCATCACAGGACGTGGTGCTAGCCCCTTACATCGATGCCAGCCTGGTGGTATACCACCGCGTGCGCGAGATGCCATTCGTGGAGGGCAACTTCACAGCGTACCTGAACAGGCAGTTCCGGTGCAAGGAGGGGGCTGCATTCAACCACTGGGTGCAGGTGGGGAGGAGGGAGGTTAGAGCTTGCAAGTAAGCCTGTTCCCTGTTCCAACTTCACAGTGTACTTGAATAGGCAGTTCCAATGCAAGCAGGGTGCTGCATTCAACCACTGGGTGCAGGTGGGGAGGAGGGAGGTTAGAACTTACAAGTAAGCCTGTTACCTGTAAGGAGCTGGTGAAATCGGGGAAGAGCTTGAGATGCAAGCAGGGTGCCGCATTCAGCCACTGCCAAGTTGAAAATCACAACTCACCATTCGTGTGCGCAAGCTGCCATTTGTGGAGTGCAATGTCACTGCCCACCTGGAGAGGCTGTTCCGATGCAAGCAGGGGGCTGCTTACATCCACTGGGTGCAGGTGGGGAGGGGGCAGGGTGATGAGAAGTGTGATAACTGTTGAGAGAATAGAATAGAATGTGTCTGACATGCTCTTTCAACTTTACGGGGTACCTGGAGAGGCTGTTCCGATGCGAGCAGGGGGCTGCTTCGGAGGTGCATTGGGCTTTCCACACCGATATCGACAAATATTTCTCTCTCCCCCTCCCCTTCTCCCTTCCCTCTCCCTTTACTGTCCGACTCCCCTTCCCCCGCACCATCCGCCCAGCACTACGCATCGGAGGTGCACTGGGCTTTCCACACCGATATCGACGAGTATTTCTTCTCCCCAGCCGGCACGCCGCCCGGCTTTCTTCGTCATTACCTGCAGACGCTACCAAATACGACAGTACAGGTGGGTGGTTTTCGTTGTTGCTGGCTGCGGCACCACAACCACCACCAGGTGCATACATTCTCTCCCTACATGGGTGAGCACGTGAACACACACACACCCCCACAACACACACACCCACACCCACACACACACATGCACACACATACGCACGCACGCATGCACGTACCCACGCGCCGCAACCCCCCCCCCCCCCCCCCCCCCCCCACACACAGAGATACGCACACAACTCGTCCCCAATCTGCTCTCCACCCGTTCCTTCCCCTTTACGTCCATACAGGTCCTGCTTCAGAACATGCTCTTCCTTGGGGACCCAGTAGGCCCAGGCACCCACGCGCTCCTAGAGCGCTACACCCTGCGCAAACCCAACTCATTACGGCGCCATCTCCTCCCCACTTCCTGTTCTCTCCCTCACAGGTCCCCATTCGCGCAGGGGCGCATGTTCTTCCTGGGCGACTCAATATACTCTGACACCGACACGCTACTAGAGCGCTACACCTTCCGCATGCCCAACTCCTCCCAGCGCCACTGCAAAACCCCAAACGCCTTTCGAGTCCCAACTCCTCCCAACTCCTCCCATCTCCTCCCGACTCCTTCCAAATCCCCTATGTTTGCCGGGGCCCCTTTTATTCCTGGGCCCCTTGAATTCGTGATCCCATCCATACAGGTCCTGATTCAGAACATCTTCTTTCTCGGCGGCCCCATTGGTCCTGACACCGACACTCTACTAGAGCGCTACACCTTCCGCATGCCCAACTCCTCCCAGCGCCACTGCACCAAACCCATTGCTTGGCCGCCCCTCACCGCGCACCTCATGGACAACACCGGTTGCCCCTCACCGCGCACCTCATGGACAACACCTTTCAAGTGCCATGCCACACTTTTCCCTCGTCTCCTCCTCTCCTTCTCCCCTCCTCTCCTTCTCCCCTCCTCTCCTTCTCCCCTCCTCTCCTTCTCCCCTCCTCTCCTTCTCCCCTCCTCTCCTTCTCTCCCTCTCCCCTTCCCTCCCCTCATACCCCCTCAGGTGCTGGTTCAGAATAAGTTCTTCCTCGGAGATCCAATAGGCCCGGACACGGACACGCTGCTAGAGCGCTACACGCTCCGCATGCCCACCTCGTCCGGGCGCCTTCGCACTAAGCCCATTGCATGGCTGCCCCTCGCTGTGAACCGTAGCGGTGATGTTTTCATCAGCCCCCACCAGTGGCCTATGCTGGAGAATGGGCCACCGCGATTGGTCGATATGGGAGTGCTGAGGCTGAACCACTACTGGGGGGACCGCGCCGGGGTGATTTCGGACAATACCCCGGATTACACGATCGATGTCACGATGATGAGCGAGTATGGGGACGGGCTCGTGAAGGATGAGTCAGCAAAGGTGAGAGATGAGCTGGCAAAGGGGAGGGATGGGCTGGCAAAGGGTGGCACCAGGTAGGTATGATGAGCTAGAAATGGGGTGTATTCACAAGGGGGGGTCTCATGCTATTACAATCCCTGCTTTCTCAACCACTTGTGTCCCCACCGCAGCTCTACATCTCACACCCCCCACTCCCCCCACTCTTCCCTTTCCTCCTCCTCCCTTCCCGTGCCCTCCCCCCACCTTCATCTCTTCTCCCTAACACCGTCCCTCCTGCCCCTCCTGTTCTTGGCAGCCCATGGGAGTGTGGCTGCGGCAGCGCATGCAGGTGGCATGGGCGGTCATATCAGCACAGGCGGTTCACAAGGAGAGGGAGCGGCTCAGGAAACGTGTGGCTGAGGTGAAGATACGTGTCAGGCAGCTAGTGGCTCTCGTGCCCGGGCTGTTGAATGGGAGAGGAGGCGGGGGAGTGAAGAGAGGAAGAGGAGGAGGTGGAAGAGGAGGGGGGGTGAAGGGACGAGGAGAGGGGGGAGAGGGAGGAGAGGGAGGGGAGGGAGGGGAGGAGAGTGAGGAAGCAAGGGAGATAGAGGGTGGGGTGAGCATGGAGGTGAGTGGGCTGGCAGGTAAAGAGGCTAACATAAGTGCTAGCCCTAAACCTAGAATATACAGCTAACATTGAAATACAATCTACCGCACTTGCAAGACAAGCAACAAGTAGTCAACTAGTCCAACCACTAAAACAGGTGGTCACAAGACCAGTCAAGAAAGGCAACGAGGCAAGACAAACAATTCAGGGTGGTATATCTACTAGCCAGCCCTTGGAGAAACGGCCACCTCTAGGTTGCGCGTTTGTGATATTGCCATTGTGGTTGTGGAAACTATTATCAAAAATTTTAACTTCTTGTATTGATGCAGGATTTGTGAATCCTTCCTTCCATCTAAACCAAACTTAGGTCAAATGGGCACCTGAACTCAATATTCAAGATTATTTGTGCTTTGTACTTTTTTCTTTCATGTACCGTATTACAAAATATGATGGTTTGTAAATGGGGAATCGTTTGGCTTGTTTGCAGGAAGCGTAAAATGGATATGAAATCACGGTTTGGAAAAAACTACCGCAAAAAGGGGTTTGCGTAGAGAACGAGCGGTGGAGAGAGGCCGAGCTCTCTTCTACAACCAACAGCTGTTGAGCCAAGGTCGGTGTTCAAATCAAAACCGGAGTCTTCTGAGTTCTCCCATTCGTGACAGTAAATTATGAAGCAGCTTGCTTCAGTTCGCGAAGAAGAACCATCAGCCACCGTCCGTAAAACACGGACGGCACCTGCGATCCCGTAAAACTTTCCAGGAATACGCCCTGAATTTCCATCCATAGGTTCCTGCAGTCGCTATGCGATCAAGCATATGGATGTCTTGCTGACGCAACAGATTACGTCGTCCTAGTATGTCAACGAGCACAGACGCGACTTTCGTCATGCTAAAGATCGCATTGGAACGATATTTATCCATGCGACGAATGGCATAATGACACGTATCTCGTGATCTCCAGGCGATTAATAGTTGGAAGGAGGCAGTATCACCTGCGAAACTGCTCGACATCGCGTGTTTCTATCAAGAATTCTCAAAAGTCGTCCAAAATGACGGAAGCCACAAGCACAGCAGGCGAGTTCCACCGGCTGATGTCGCTGCTAAGTTCAGAGACCGTAGATTCGAATCAAAAGGCGCTTTGGATACATATTTTTTCTTGAAGCTTGGTCTGCCCAGCCAATGGTCAGGCTCGGGGGATGCTACATCTGTATTCTTGAAGCTTGGTTTTCCACCCAATTTGCCTGGAAATGGCTAGCATGGCCGGCAAGTCAGCTTTGCTTCATTCCCAATTTTCCCTGCCGTTAAAGGGGTAAACGCGACAATTTCCCCTTTTCAACATCTAGACTGATTTCTCCCCCCCACCCCACCCCACACTCCACCAGCAGCACCTTCCAAGAAGCCCTCCCGCCGCCGGTCCTCCAGGCGGCAGCGCTGGGCGGCAGTGACGTCATCATGGGCGGCGGTGTTTGTCGTGGCACTGGGCCTGCTGACGTGGACGTTTTACCTGTATTCTGCCACCCACCGCCTGCTGCTCTCTCCTTCCTCTGCCTCCGGCTCTACCCGCTCCTCTCCTCGCAAGCTACAGCAGGTTGCAATAGCCTCTTTCTCTTTTGAGGCGCCTCAAAAACGACCTCGTTGCAATAGCCTCTTTCTCTTTTCTCCACCTCGTCCCTCTCATCACCTCGCAAGCTACAGCAGGTGTGTAGCTCTCCCTCTTTATAACAACTCGCTACCCACTGGGTCAAAACGAGGGTTATATTTGAGGCGCAGCGGATGCACTCATACCCTTACGTGTTGACTTTTGAGTCGACTCAAAAGTCAACTCGTTACGTGTAAGCCCCGCATCCTCTTCTTCTTCCTCTCCCCCCCCCCCTCTCTCCTCCTCCTCCTCTTCCTCTCCCTCCTCCTCTCCATGCCCTCCCTCCTCTCCCTCCTCGCCCTCATTGCATTCGCCTCTCCCTCCTCGCCCTCATTGCATTCGCCTTTCCTCCTTTCCGTCCTCTCTTTGCTCTGCCCCTTCTCCTCCCCCCTCTCCCTTCCCTTTCCCCTCTCCTTGTCCTCCCTCCTCTCCATCTCCGTTGCTTCTCTCCCTAACCGCCATGCTTCTCTCCCTAACCGCCATGCTTCTCTCCCTAACCGCCATGCTTCTCTCCCTAACCGCCATGCTTCTCTCCCTAACCGCCATGCTTCTCTCCCTAACCGCCATGCTTCTCTCCCTAACCGCCATGCTTCTCTCCCTAACCGCCATGCTTCTCTCCCTAACCGCCATGCTTCTCTCCCTAACCGCCATGCTTCTCCCCCCTAACCGCCATGCTTCTCCCCCTAACCGCCATGCTTCTCTCCCTAACCGCCATGCTTCTCTCCCTAACCGCCATGCTTCTCTCCCTAACCGCCATGCTTCTCTCCCTAACCGCCATGCTTCTCTCCCTAACCGCCATGCTTCTCTCCCTAACCGCCATGCTTCTCTCCCTAACCGCCATGCTTCTCTCCCTAACCGCCATGCTTCTCTCCCTAACCGCCATGCTTCTCTCCCTAACCGCCATGCTTCTCTCCCTAACCGCCATGCTTCTCTCCCTAACCGCCATGCTTCTCTCCCTAACCGCCATGCTTCTCTCCCTAACCGCCATGCTTCTCTCCCTAACCGCCATGCTTCTCTCCCTAACCGCCATGCTTCTCTCCCTAACCGCCATGCTTCTCTCCCTAACCGCCATGCTTCTCTCCCTAACCGCCATGCTTCTCTCCCTAACCGCCATGCTTCTCTCCCTAACCGCCATGCTTCTCTCCCTAACCGCCATGCTTCTCTCCCTAACCGCCATGCTTCTCTCCCTAACCGCCATGCTTCTCTCCCTAACCGCCATGCTTCTCTCCCTAACCGCCATGCTTCTCTCCCTAACCGCCATGCTTCTCTCCCTAACCGCCATGCTTCTCTCCCTAACCGCCATGCTTCTCTCCCTAACCGCCATGCTTCTCTCCCTAACCGCCATGCTTCTCTCCCTAACCGCCATGCTTCTCTCCCTAACCGCCATGCTTCTCTCCCTAACCGCCATGCTTCTCTCCCTAACCGCCATGCTTCTCTCCCTAACCGCCATGCTTCTCTCCCTAACCGCCATGCTTCTCTCCCTAACCGCCATGCTTCTCTCCCTAACCGCCATGCTTCTCTCCCTAACCGCCATGCTTCTCTCCCTAACCGCCATGCTTCTCTCCCTAACCGCCATGCTTCTCTCCCTAACCGCCATGCTTCTCTCCCTAACCGCCATGCTTCTCTCCCTAACCGCCATGCTTCTCTCCCTAACCGCCATGCTTCTCTCCCTAACCGCCATGCTTCTCTCCCTAACCGCCATGCTTCTCTCCCTAACCGCCATGCTTCTCTCCCTAACCGCCATGCTTCTCTCCCTAACCGCCATGCTTCTCTCCCTAACCGCCATGCTTCTCTCCCTAACCGCCATGCTTCTCTCCCTAACCGCCATGCTTCTCTCCCTAACCGCCATGCTTCTCTCCCTAACCGCCATGCTTCTCTCCCTAACCGCCATGCTTCTCTCCCTAACCGCCATGCTTCTCTCCCTAACCGCCATGCTTCTCTCCCTAACCGCCATGCTTCTCTCCCTAACCGCCATGCTTCTCTCCCTAACCGCCATGCTTCTCTCCCTAACCGCCATGCTTCTCTCCCTAACCGCCATGCTTCTCTCCCTAACCGCCATGCTTCTCTCCCTAACCGCCATGCTTCTCTCCCTAACCGCCATGCTTCTCTCCCTAACCGCCATGCTTCTCTCCCTAACCGCCATGCTTCTCTCCCTAACCGCCATGCTTCTCTCCCTAACCGCCATGCTTCTCTCCCTAACCGCCATGCTTCTCCCCCCTAACCGCCATGCTTCTCCCCCTAACCGCCATGCTTCTCCCCCTAACCGCCATGCTTCTCCCCCTAACCGCCATGCTTCTCCCCCTAACCGCCATGCTTCTCCCCCTAACCGCCATGCTTCTCTCCCTAACCGCCATGCTTCTCTCCCTAACCGCCATGCTTCTCTCCCTAACCGCCATGCTTCTCTCCCTAACCGCCATGCTTCTCTCCCTAACCGCCATGCTTCTCTCCCTAACCGCCATGCTTCTCTCCCTAACCGCCATGCTTCTCTCCCTAACCGCCATGCTTCTCTCCCTAACCGCCATGCTTCTCTCCCTAACCGCCATGCTTCTCTCCCTAACCGCCATGCTTCTCTCCCTAACCGCCATGCTTCTCTCCCTAACCGCCATGCTTCTCTCCCTAACCGCCATGCTTCTCTCCCTAACCGCCATGCTTCTCTCCCTAACCGCCATGCTTCTCTCCCTAACCGCCATGCTTCTCTCCCTAACCGCCATGCTTCTCTCCCTAACCGCCATGCTTCTCCCCCCTAACCGCCATGCTTCTCTCCCTAACCGCCATGCTTCTCTCCCTAACCGCCATGCTTCTCTCCCTAACCGCCATGCTTCTCTCCCTAACCGCCATGCTTCTCTCCCTAACCGCCATGCTTCTCTCCCTAACCGCCATGCTTCTCTCCCTAACCGCCATGCTTCTCTCCCTAACCGCCATGCTTCTCTCCCTAACCGCCATGCTTTTCCCTAACCGCCATGCTTCTCCCCCTAACCGCCATGCTTTCTCCCCTAACCGCCATGCTTCTCCCCCTAACCGCCATGCTTCTCTCCCTAACCGCCATGCTTCTCTCCCTAACCGCCATGCTTCTCTCCCTAACCGCCATGCTTCTCTCCCTAACCGCCATGCTTCTCTCCCTAACCGCCATGCTTCTCTCCCTAACCGCCATGCTTCTCTCCCTAACCGCCATGCTTCTCTCCCTAACCGCCATGCTTCTCTCCCTAACCGCCATGCTTCTCTCCCTAACCGCCATGCTTCTCTCCCTAACCGCCATGCTTCTCTCCCTAACCGCCATGCTTCTCTCCCTAACCGCCATGCTTCTCTCCCTAACCGCCATGCTTCTCTCCCTAACCGCCATGCTTCTCTCCCTAACCGCCATGCTTCTCTCCCTAACCGCCATGCTTCTCTCCCTAACCGCCATGCTTCTCTCCCTAACCGCCATGCTTCTCTCCCTAACCGCCATGCTTCTCTCCCTAACCGCCATGCTTCTCTCCCTAACCGCCATGCTTCTCTCCCTAACCGCCATGCTTCTCTCCCTAACCGCCATGCTTCTCTCCCTAACCGCCATGCTTCTCTCCCTAACCGCCATGCTTCTCTCCCTAACCGCCATGCTTCTCTCCCTAACCGCCATGCTTCTCTCCCTAACCGCCATGCTTCTCTCCCTAACCGCCATGCTTCTCTCCCTAACCGCCATGCTTCTCTCCCTAACCGCCATGCTTCTCTCCCTAACCGCCATGCTTCTCTCCCTAACCGCCATGCTTCTCTCCCTAACCGCCATGCTTCTCTCCCTAACCGCCATGCTTCTCTCCCTAACCGCCATGCTTCTCTCCCTAACCGCCATGCTTCTCTCCCTAACCGCCATGCTTCTCTCCCTAACCGCCATGCTTCTCTCCCTAACCGCCATGCTTCTCTCCCTAACCGCCATGCTTCTCTCCCTAACCGCCATGCTTCTCCCCCTAAACCGCCATGCTTCTCCCCTAACCGCCATGCTTCTCCCCCTAACCGCCATGCTTCTCTCCCTAACCGCCATGCTTCTCTCCCTAACCGCCATGCTTCTCTCCCTAACCGCCATGCTTCTCTCCCTAACCGCCATGCTTCTCTCCCTAACCGCCATGCTTCTCTCCCTAACCGCCATGCTTCTCTCCCTAACCGCCATGCTTCTCTCCCTAACCGCCATGCTTCTCTCCCTAACCGCCATGCTTCTCTCCCTAACCGCCATGCTTCTCTCCCTAACCGCCATGCTTCTCTCCCTAACCGCCATGCTTCTCTCCCTAACCGCCATGCTTCTCTCCCTAACCGCCATGCTTCTCTCCCTAACCGCCATGCTTCTCTCCCTAACCGCCATGCTTCTCTCCCTAACCGCCATGCTTCTCTCCCTAACCGCCATGCTTCTCTCCCTAACCGCCATGCTTCTCTCCCTAACCGCCATGCTTCTCTCCCTAACCGCCATGCTTCTCTCCCTAACCGCCATGCTTCTCTCCCTAACCGCCATGCTTCTCTCCCTAACCGCCATGCTTCTCTCCCTAACCGCCATGCTTCTCTCCCTAACCGCCATGCTTCTCTCCCTAACCGCCATGCTTCTCTCCCTAACCGCCATGCTTCTCTCCCTAACCGCCATGCTTCTCTCCCTAACCGCCATGCTTCTCTCCCTAACCGCCATGCTTCTCTCCCTAACCGCCATGCTTCTCTCCCTAACCGCCATGCTTCTCTCCCTAACCGCCATGCTTCTCTCCCTAACCGCCATGCTTCTCTCCCTAACCGCCATGCTTCTCTCCCTAACCGCCATGCTTCTCTCCCTAACCGCCATGCTTCTCTCCCTAACCGCCATGCTTCTCTCCCTAACCGCCATGCTTCTCTCCCTAACCGCCATGCTTCTCTCCCTAACCGCCATGCTTCTCTCCCTAACCGCCATGCTTCTCTCCCTAACCGCCATGCTTCTCTCCCTAACCGCCATGCTTCTCTCCCTAACCGCCATGCTTCTCTCCCTAACCGCCATGCTTCTCTCCCTAACCGCCATGCTTCTCTCCCTAACCGCCATGCTTCTCTCCCTAACCGCCATGCTTCTCTCCCTAACCGCCATGCTTCTCTCCCTAACCGCCATGCTTCTCTCCCTAACCGCCATGCTTCTCTCCCTAACCGCCATGCTTCTCTCCCTAACCGCCATGCTTCTCTCCCTAACCGCCATGCTTCTCTCCCTAACCGCCATGCTTCTCTCCCTAACCGCCATGCTTCTCTCCCTAACCGCCATGCTTCTCTCCCTAACCGCCATGCTTCTCTCCCTAACCGCCATGCTTCTCTCCCTAACCGCCATGCTTCTCTCCCTAACCGCCATGCTTCTCTCCCTAACCGCCATGCTTCTCTCCCTAACCGCCATGCTTCTCTCCCTAACCGCCATGCTTCTCTCCCTAACCGCCATGCTTCTCTCCCTAACCGCCATGCTTCTCTCCCTAACCGCCATGCTTCTCTCCCTAACCGCCATGCTTCTCTCCCTAACCGCCATGCTTCTCTCCCTAACCGCCATGCTTCTCTCCCTAACCGCCATGCTTCTCTCCCTAACCGCCATGCTTCTCTCCCTAACCGCCATGCTTCTCTCCCTAACCGCCATGCTTCTCTCCCTAACCGCCATGCTTCTCTCCCTAACCGCCATGCTTCTCTCCCTAACCGCCATGCTTCTCTCCCTAACCGCCATGCTTCTCTCCCTAACCGCCATGCTTCTCTCCCTAACCGCCATGCTTCTCTCCCTAACCGCCATGCTTCTCTCCCTAACCGCCATGCTTCTCTCCCTAACCGCCATGCTTCTCTCCCTAACCGCCATGCTTCTCTCCCTAACCGCCATGCTTCTCTCCCTAACCGCCATGCTTCTCTCCCTAACCGCCATGCTTCTCTCCCTAACCGCCATGCTTCTCTCCCTAACCGCCATGCTTCTCTCCCTAACCGCCATGCTTCTCTCCCTAACCGCCATGCTTCTCTCCCTAACCGCCATGCTTCTCTCCCTAACCGCCATGCTTCTCTCCCTAACCGCCATGCTTCTCTCCCTAACCGCCATGCTTCTCTCCCTAACCGCCATGCTTCTCTCCCTAACCGCCATGCTTCTCTCCCTAACCGCCATGCTTCTCTCCCTAACCGCCATGCTTCTCTCCCTAACCGCCATGCTTCTCTCCCTAACCGCCATGCTTCTCTCCCTAACCGCCATGCTTCTCTCCCTAACCGCCATGCTTCTCTCCCTAACCGCCATGCTTCTCTCCCTAACCGCCATGCTTCTCTCCCTAACCGCCATGCTTCTCTCCCTAACCGCCATGCTTCTCTCCCTAACCGCCATGCTTCTCTCCCTAACCGCCATGCTTCTCTCCCTAACCGCCATGCTTCTCTCCCTAACCGCCATGCTTCTCTCCCTAACCGCCATGCTTCTCTCCCTAACCGCCATGCTTCTCTCCCTAACCGCCATGCTTCTCTCCCTAACCGCCATGCTTCTCTCCCTAACCGCCATGCTTCTCTCCCTAACCGCCATGCTTCTCTCCCTAACCGCCATGCTTCTCTCCCTAACCGCCATGCTTCTCTCCCTAACCGCCATGCTTCTCTCCCTAACCGCCATGCTTCTCTCCCTAACCGCCATGCTTCTCTCCCTAACCGCCATGCTTCTCTCCCTAACCGCCATGCTTCTCTCCCTAACCGCCATGCTTCTCTCCCTAACCGCCATGCTTCTCTCCCTAACCGCCATGCTTCTCTCCCTAACCGCCATGCTTCTCTCCCTAACCGCCATGCTTCTCTCCCTAACCGCCATGCTTCTCTCCCTAACCGCCATGCTTCTCTCCCTAACCGCCATGCTTCTCTCCCTAACCGCCATGCTTCTCTCCCTAACCGCCATGCTTCTCTCCCTAACCGCCATGCTTCTCTCCCTAACCGCCATGCTTCTCTCCCTAACCGCCATGCTTCTCTCCCTAACCGCCATGCTTCTCTCCCTAACCGCCATGCTTCTCTCCCTAACCGCCATGCTTCTCTCCCTAACCGCCATGCTTCTCTCCCTAACCGCCATGCTTCTCTCCCTAACCGCCATGCTTCTCTCCCTAACCGCCATGCTTCTCTCCCTAACCGCCATGCTTCTCTCCCTAACCGCCATGCTTCTCTCCCTAACCGCCATGCTTCTCTCCCTAACCGCCATGCTTCTCTCCCTAACCGCCATGCTTCTCTCCCTAACCGCCATGCTTCTCTCCCTAACCGCCATGCTTCTCTCCCTAACCGCCATGCTTCTCTCCCTAACCGCCATGCTTCTCTCCCTAACCGCCATGCTTCTCTCCCTAACCGCCATGCTTCTCTCCCTAACCGCCATGCTTCTCTCCCTAACCGCCATGCTTCTCTCCCTAACCGCCATGCTTCTCTCCCTAACCGCCATGCTTCTCTCCCTAACCGCCATGCTTCTCTCCCTAACCGCCATGCTTCTCTCCCTAACCGCCATGCTTCTCTCCCTAACCGCCATGCTTCTCTCCCTAACCGCCATGCTTCTCTCCCTAACCGCCATGCTTCTCTCCCTAACCGCCATGCTTCTCTCCCTAACCGCCATGCTTCTCTCCCTAACCGCCATGCTTCTCTCCCTAACCGCCATGCTTCTCTCCCTAACCGCCATGCTTCTCTCCCTAACCGCCATGCTTCTCTCCCTAACCGCCATGCTTCTCTCCCTAACCGCCATGCTTCTCTCCCTAACCGCCATGCTTCTCTCCCTAACCGCCATGCTTCTCTCCCTAACCGCCATGCTTCTCTCCCTAACCGCCATGCTTCTCTCCCTAACCGCCATGCTTCTCTCCCTAACCGCCATGCTTCTCTCCCTAACCGCCATGCTTCTCTCCCTAACCGCCATGCTTCTCTCCCTAACCGCCATGCTTCTCTCCCTAACCGCCATGCTTCTCTCCCTAACCGCCATGCTTCTCTCCCTAACCGCCATGCTTCTCTCCCTAACCGCCATGCTTCTCTCCCTAACCGCCATGCTTCTCTCCCTAACCGCCATGCTTCTCTCCCTAACCGCCATGCTTCTCTCCCTAACCGCCATGCTTCTCTCCCTAACCGCCATGCTTCTCTCCCTAACCGCCATGCTTCTCTCCCTAACCGCCATGCTTCTCTCCCTAACCGCCATGCTTCTCTCCCTAACCGCCATGCTTCTCTTCCCTAACCGCCATGCTTCTCTCCCTAACCGCCATGCTTCTCTCCCTAACCGCCATGCTTCTCTCCCTAACCGCCATGCTTCTCTCCCTAACCGCCATGCTTCTCTCCCTAACCGCCATGCTTCTCTCCCTAACCGCCATGCTTCTCTCCCTAACCGCCATGCTAAGTTGGAATATACGCGTTTCGCGTTTTGTACGCACGCGTGTATACGCTAGAGTATAATACGCAATACGTCCAGAGAGGATGTTGAAATTCGCTTGAAATACGGAGGGGCGGGCAGCGTAAAAACTTTTCCGGGCAGGGTAACATACCAATTTCTAGAGAGGGGAGGGGGAGAAGGTGTTATACACCCACACCTATCCTTCGTCTGTTTTTTTTTTGGAGTGGGATTTCTCGCGGATATAAATGCAAAAGTGCCTGAAATTGAGACGATCGCTATCTTCCTGAAACACCAGTGTGGTGGAACCTTCCGCGGACGCAATTCGAACCTACGTGCACTCGCAGGAGTGCTTCAGGGGGTAGATATGGCTGAAGGTCAACTACGAAAATGAGGAATGCGTCGTTTGCTTCGAGCTCACCTTGTGTACGTACCTGCTGTGCGTGGCTTTCTTGGTGGGGATGGATGGGTTGGATCTGAGAGGTATGCTGAGATTCAAAGCGGTTGAAAGATTGTGAAATTCAAATTTGGGAGCCCAAATTGAGTTCGCGATGTTTCTCACAGATTGTTCCGCATCGCAACTCGCAATTCCCGTTTTTAGGTTTTTTTTTTTTTCGACGGGCTGCCCGCCCGAAATCCGAGCGTATTTTAGCGTATCGCGTTTTTGCGGATATACGCAAGCGTACAAACGCAATACGCCTTGCCAGCCGAGCGTATATTCCAACTTAGCCGCCATGCTTCTCCCCCTAACCGCCATGCTTCTCCCCCTAACCGCCATGCTTCTCCCCCTAACCGCCATGCTTCTCCCCCTAACCGCCATGCTTCTCCCCCTAACCGCCATGCTTCTCTCCCTAACCGCCATGCTTCTCTCCCTAACCGCCATGCTTCTCTCCCTAACCGCCATGCTTCTCTCCCTAACCGCCATGCTTCTCTCCCTAACCGCCATGCTTCTCTCCCTAACCGCCATGCTTCTCTCCCTAACCGCCATGCTTCTCTCCCTAACCGCCATGCTTCTCTCCCTAACCGCCATGCTTCTCTCCCTAACCGCCATGCTTCTCTCCCTAACCGCCATGCTTCTCTCCCTAACCGCCATGCTTCTCTCCCTAACCGCCATGCTTCTCTCCCTAACCGCCATGCTTCTCTCCCTAACCGCCATGCTTCTCTCCCTAACCGCCATGCTTCTCTCCCTAACCGCCATGCTTCTCTCCCTAACCGCCATGCTTCTCTCCCTAACCGCCATGCTTCTCTCCCTAACCGCCATGCTTCTCTCCCTAACCGCCATGCTTCTCTCCCTAACCGCCATGCTTCTCTCCCTAACCGCCATGCTTCTCTCCCTAACCGCCATGCTTCTCTCCCTAACCGCCATGCTTCTCTCCCTAACCGCCATGCTTCTCTCCCTAACCGCCATGCTTCTCTCCCTAACCGCCATGCTTCTCTCCCTAACCGCCATGCTTCTCTCCCTAACCGCCATGCTTCTCTCCCTAACCGCCATGCTTCTCTCCCTAACCGCCATGCTTCTCTCCCTAACCGCCATGCTTCTCTCCCTAACCGCCATGCTTCTCTCCCTAACCGCCATGCTTCTCTCCCTAACCGCCATGCTTCTCTCCCTAACCGCCATGCTTCTCTCCCTAACCGCCATGCTTCTCTCCCTAACCGCCATGCTTCTCTCCCTAACCGCCATGCTTCTCTCCCTAACCGCCATGCTTCTCTCCCTAACCGCCATGCTTCTCTCCCTAACCGCCATGCTTCTCTCCCTAACCGCCATGCTTTCCCCTAACCGCCATGCTTCTCCCCTAACCGCCATGCTTCTCCCCTAACCGCCATGTCTTCCCCCTAACCGCCATGCTTCTCCCCCTAACCGCCATGCTTCTCCCCCTAACCGCCATGCTCTCCCCCTAACCGCCATGCTTCTCCCCCTAACCGCCATGCTTCTCCCCCTAACCGCCATGCTTCTCCCCTAACCGCCATGCTTCTCCCCTAACCGCCATGCTTCTCCCCCTAACCGCCATGCTTCTCCCCCTAACCGCCATGCTCTCCCCCTAACCGCCATGCTTCTCCCCCTAACCGCCATGCTTCTCCCCCTAACCGCCATGCTTCTCCCCTAACCGCCATGCTTCTCCCCCTAACCGCCATGCTTCTCCCCCTAACCGCCATGCTCTCCCCCCTAACCGCCATGCTTCTCCCCCTAACCGCCATGCTTCTCTCCCTAACCGCCATGCTTCTCTCCCTAACCGCCATGCTTCTCTCCCTAACCGCCATGCTTCTCGCCCCCCTAACCGCCATGCTCTCCCCCTAACCGCCATGCTTCTCCCCTAACCGCCATGCTTCTCCCCCTAACCGCCATGCTTCTCTCCCTAACCGCCATGCTTCTCTCCCTAACCGCCATGCTTCTCTCCCTAACCGCCATGCTTCTCTCCCTAACCGCCATGCTTCTCTCCCTAACCGCCATGCTCTCCCCTAACCGCCATGCTTCTCCCCTAACCGCCATGCTTCTCCCCCTAACCGCCATGCTTCTCCCCCTAACCGCCATGCTTCTCCCCCTAACCGCCATGCTTCTCCCCTAACCGCCATGCTTCTCTCCCTAACCGCCATGCTTCTCTCCCTAACCGCCATGCTTCTCTCCCTAACCGCCATGCTTCGCCCTAACCGCCATGCTTCTCCCCCTAACCGCCATGCTTCTCCCCCTAACCGCCATGCTTCTCCCCCTAACCGCCATGCTTCTCTCCCTAACCGCCATGCTTCTCTCCCTAACCGCCATGCTTCTCTCCCTAACCGCCATGCTTTCCCCCTAACCGCCATGCTTCTCCCCTAACCGCCATGCTTCTCCCCCTAACCGCCATGCTTCTCCCCCTAACCGCCATGCTTCTCCCCCTAACCGCCATGCTTCTCCCCCTAACCGCCATGCTTCTCTCCCTAACCGCCATGCTTCTCTCCCTAACCGCCATGCTTCTCTCCCTAACCGCCATGCTTCTCTCCCTAACCGCCATGCTTCTCTCCCTAACCGCCATGCTTCTCTCCCTAACCGCCATGCTTCTCTCCCTAACCGCCATGCTTCTCTCCCTAACCGCCATGCTTATCCCCCTAACCGCCATGCTTCTCCCCTAACCGCCATGCTTCTCCCCCTAACCGCCATGCTTCTCTCCTAACCGCCATGCTTCTCCCCCTAACCGCCATGCTTCTCCCCCTAACCGCCATGCTTCTCCCCCTAACCGCCATGCTTCTCTCCCTAACCGCCATGCTTCTCTCCCTAACCGCCATGCTTCTCTCCCTAACCGCCATGCTTCTCTCCCTAACCGCCATGCTTCTCTCCCTAACCGCCATGCTTCTCTCCCTAACCGCCATGCTTCTCTCCCTAACCGCCATGCTTCTCTCCCTAACCGCCATGCTTCTCTCCCTAACCGCCATGCTTCTCTCCCTAACCGCCATGCTTCTCTCCCTAACCGCCATGCTTCTCTCCCTAACCGCCATGCTTCTCCCCCTACCGCCATGCTTCTCCCCCTAACCGCCATGCTTCTCCCCCTAACCGCCATGCTTCTCTCCTAACCGCCATGCTTCTCCCCCTAACCGCCATGCTTCTCCCCCTAACCGCCATGCTTCTCCCCTAACCGCCATGCTTCTCTCCCTAACCGCCATGCTTCTCTCCCTAACCGCCATGCTTCTCCCCCTACCCGCCATGCTTCTCCCCCTAACCGCCATGCTTCTCCCCCTAACCGCCATGCTTCTCCCCCTAACCGCCATGCTTCTCCCCCTAACCGCCATGCTTCTCCCCCTAACCGCCATGCTTCTCCCCTAACCGCCATGCTTCTCCCCCTAACCGCCATGCTTCTCCCCTAACTGCCATGCTTCTCCCCCTAAACGCCATGCTTCTCCCCCTAACCGCCATGCTTCTCCCCCTAACCGCCATGCTTCTCCCCCTAACCGCCATGCTTCTCCCCCTAACCGCCATGCTTCTCTCCCTAACCGCCATGCTTCTCTCCCTAACCGCCATGCTTCTCTCCCTAACCGCCATGCTTCTCTCCCTAACCGCCATGCTTCTCTCCCTAACCGCCATGCTTCTCTCCCTAACCGCCATGCTTCTCTCCCTAACCGCCATGCTTCTCTCCCTAACCGCCATGCTTCTCTCCCTAACCGCCATGCTTCTCTCCCTAACCGCCATGCTTCTCTCCCTAACCGCCATGCTTCTCTCCCTAACCGCCATGCTTCTCTCCCTAACCGCCATGCTTCTCTCCCTAACCGCCATGCTTCTCTCCCTAACCGCCATGCTTCTCTCCCTAACCGCCATGCTTCTCTCCCTAACCGCCATGCTTCTCTCCCTAACCGCCATGCTTCTCTCCCTAACCGCCATGCTTCTCTCCCTAACCGCCATGCTTCTCTCCCTAACCGCCATGCTTCTCTCCCTAACCGCCATGCTTCTCTCCCTAACCGCCATGCTTCTCTCCCTAACCGCCATGCTTCTCTCCCTAACCGCCATGCTTCTCTCCCTAACCGCCATGCTTCTCTCCCTAACCGCCATGCTTCTCTCCCTAACCGCCATGCTTCTCTCCCTAACCGCCATGCTTCTCTCCCTAACCGCCATGCTTCTCTCCCTAACCGCCATGCTTCTCTCCCTAACCGCCATGCTAAGTTGGAATTACGCGTTTCGCGTTTTGTACGCACGCGTGTATACGCTAGAGTATAATACGCAATACGTCCAGAGAGGATGTTGAAATTCGCTTGAAATACGGAGGGGCGGGCAGCGTAAAAACTTTTCCGGGCAGGGTAACATACCAATTTCTAGAGAGGGGAGGGGGAGAAGGTGTTATACACCCACACCTATCCCTTCGTCTGTTTTTTTTTTGAGTGGGATTTCTCGCGGATATAAATGCAAAAGTGCCTGAAATTGAGACGATCGCTATCTTCCTGAAAACACCAGTGTGGTGGAACCTTCCGCGGACGCAATTCGAACTACGTGCACTCGCAGGAGTGCTTCAGGGGGTAGATATGGCTGAAGGTCAACTACGAAAATGAGGAGGAATGCGTCGTTTGCTTCGAGCTCACCTTGTGTACGTACCTGCTGTGCGTGGCTTTCTTGGTGGGGATGGATGGGTTGGATCTGAGAGGTATGCTGAGATTCAAAGCGGTTGAAAGATTGTGAATTCAAATTGGGAGCCCAAATGAGTTCGCGATGTTTCTCACAGATTGTTTCCGCATCGCAACTCGCGCAATTCCCGTTTTTAGGTTTTTTTTTTTTTCCGGGCTGCCCGCCCGAAATCCGAGCGTATTTTTAGCGTATCGCGTTTTTGCGGATATACGCAAGCGTACAAACGCAATACGCCTTGCCAGCCGAGCGTATATTCCAACTT